ATCTCCTTGATTGGACATTGTGCTCCTTGGAATTCTTGCTGAAACGACTTCGTTTATGTAAGGTGTTGTAGGTTCCCGTTGAACGTATACCGTATTCCCCACCGTCACGCGATTGGCAGCCACTTCAGTCGCGCATGAAGGATCGTGGAGCGCGGCGAGATCGTCGAGAAGTGGAGGCTATGAGGGACCCAGAAGTAGAGTTGGCGAAGAATGCGGTTATCGCTCCAGAGAACTCAACTACATGTGAGCATGAGTTCGATACCCTTTGTTACTAGTTGTAAAGGCTGGTTTTTCGCCGTACATCACAGTTATTTAGATTCACCTTTGTGAGCCACGAGTACGACCTCCTGCTGGTTGCCGGTTCAGAAATCCTTTCATTGTGCCAGCACTGGAGATGGTTAAAGAGTTACCGAGGTAATATTGTCTTAACTTCCTTTTATTGATAGTTCGATTTTGAGCAGTGCGACAGAGTGTGACAAGGATTTTTTTTGAAGCAAAAAAGGATTGATATGGTTGTTACAGGGTGCAGCAATGTGCAGTATATGGACTAAATAATGTGGGGAGAAGCCTTTTGAGGCATTATAGTAATCTTGTCGTTGGGGAAGATTTTTGCAAGATAGATCCCCCTCTCAAAATCTTCCTCCTGTAATACGCCCCCCCCCCCGCCGTCGCTCATGCCCTATCCTACCTGCCTTCCCCTGACTTCTCCGATTTCTACGGAGATTTTTCCCCCTAAAACTCCTTCACTTCTCCTCCAAAAAGCGAAAGGGCGCCATTAGGGTGGGGGGTGGTGGGGAATATAATAGCGCTTTTGAAACAGGGAAACCGAAAAAAGTCAGCAACCGGAACCTTTTTTCCTCGAGACAAAATGCGGCGCTCTCCCTCCAACGACCAAAAGAAGTACGATTCCCCTCGCTGGGGATTCCCAACGTGGCAAGTGCAGCATTTTGCAAATAATGTTTCATAATAATTTTTTTATTAGGTCGTTCAGTATGAAATGTCCGTTTTTGAGAGTCAACTTCAGTTTATCATATCTCATACAACGCAAATTACAATCAATCAAAATATGATCCTAAGTTATCAACACATCTTTGCCATTTTAAAGGTAACTTATTAATTCCATCTCTATAGAAATCTGGGGAGCGAGAGGCAATAAAATCATGAAAGGCACTTTCTACATCATCATAAGAATTGAATAATTTTCCCTGCAAGAAGTGATCTAAAGCTTGAAAGAAATGGTAATCTGTAGGTGCTAGGTCGGGAGAGTAAGGAGGATGAACGAGAGTTTCCAAGTCCAAATCCTGTAATTTTAACAAGGTCGAGTTTGCCACATGTGGCCGAGCGTTGTCCTGCAGTAGGAGCGAGTCGGGAGCGGTCGGTCTCTGTTAATCATTCTCGGCTGCATAACAGCAAGCTTCTCCATCATTTCCTCCAGCTGTTGACAGTACGCCTCCGCCGTGATCGCCTGACCAGGTCTCGTAAAGCTGTAGTGAATCACTCCTGCGGAGGACCACCAAACTGATACCATAGTCTTCCTCTGGTGAGGGTCCGGCTTCGGCGTAGGTTTTGGCGGTTCCGACTTGTCCAACCACTGGTAAGACCGCTTCCTGTTATCGAAATGGATCCACTTCTCGTCACATGTGACGAGACGGTGTAAGAAAGGCTCGCTTTTTTGCCTAGAAAGTAAGGAAAGGCAAGCCTCAAGGCGGACCCTCTTCTGACGATCGCTCAAGTCGTGCGGTACCCAACGGTCCAGCTTCCTACTCTTGCCAATTTGCTTCAAATGAGACGAGATCGTCACCTTACATACTCCAAACTTTGCCGCTAATTCTCGAGTACTTTGAGTGGGATCAGCTTCCACTACGGCTTTAAGCTCATCGTTGTTCAGCTTGCACTCGGGCCGTCCTCTCGACTCATTTTGAAGATCGAAGTCGCCGGATTCAAACTTTGCAAACCATCGACGTACTGTTCGTTCGTTAGGGGCATCCTCTCCAAAGACGACGGTGATATTCCGAACTGCCTGTGCTGCGGTGCTTCCACGGCGGAACTCGTACTCCAAGACAACACGCAATTTGGACTTGTCCATGTCGTTACAAAAACCTTTCTAAAAAAGTCAGATTCCACGGCAGCCGGAGGTCCACCGAAGGTAAGAAAGAGGGAGGCTGCACCTTTACCAAAACTCAGTACCAAGGACTGCCGGAGCGTTTTGCCTTAGATACGGACTCTCGAACTATGCACTTCTGAAAAACGGACATTTCATACTGAACGACCTGATATCAAGTTGTAAAGCCCATACAAACATTTACAGACGAGCTCTTTCCATTTCGTGAAAGAGTTCAAAGTCTCATCAAATGTTTTTTTGGCAAACCTTGTGCTGTATTGCTGCTTCACATAAGTGTACAGGTCTCACCAAATTAAAGAAACTAGCGGGTTAGCGAAAATTCTTGCAACCGCACTCCCGGAAAGTTGAACAGGTGTCGTTGATTGATAGCTGGTGTCAGACAAGCAGTTTTGATATATTCGGCGGCACCTTACGTACAGTAACCCACCTTTTTGAGATTTACTGCGGAATTTTATTGGGGCCCACCATGTTGAGCGGTCGTGGACGCGGAAGCCACTAGCTGTGGAACTGTATCCGCTCCTCGGTAGAAAGTGAGACTCTCTTTTCTAAAACGAGGCAGCGGTTCACAAAAAGTTTGGATAATCACCGATTAAGCGTGCAGTCAGGTTTCGGCGGAGGAGGCTAACTCCGATGGGACTGGACTATTTTATCCACATATGTTCCCACATTGAGGCGCTGGTGGTCTATGTTCAGTTAGAGTACACACCATACTGTATAACGGCAAGAGAGTGGCAGCGCCTACCATAGCGCGCGGGTTCGGGGGGTCAGTGGTCGCCGGAGTCGTTTCGTCATCGCCCAGGCCAACCAAGCCGGAAGACATTCTATAGGCCATATTAAGTCACTGCGATTCTGAAAGTAACTGGAATGCGCGTCGTATCCCAAAAAGGTATTCATCAATGGTGAGACTTTATCCTTTTTTTTTCTAGCGAAGTCGTCGGTATACCCTTGTTTAACTACACCAATTGCGGGTGTGGTGAATGTGATCCGTTGCATTTTCTCGGAAACTTTTGATGTAGTAGTTCATGTTGTGAAATTTGTCGGAATCTCTGAGACCAGGTTGCTAGGCGTAACTCCCAGGGACTTGGCCTATTACCGAAAGTTCCCACGATATCAATTTTGGAGCTTTCGTAGTTTCGATTTTTCGCTCAAACATACAATGATAGCCTTACCCAATGTCAGAAACACGAGTCTCTTGGCACCACTGTTCCAGCTCACTACATAAACGTTTGTTTTATAAAGGTTAAGGAAATATGAGGGGAATTCTTTCCCTCAGGTTTTCGAGGTCACTTACAGGATGAAGTTTTCGCCGTTGAGCAATCCTTTTTGGATGCGGCACGCATTCTACTTCCATTCAGAATCGTAGTGGCTTATTGAATGCGATGTGGCCTATACAATGACTTGCGGTGGCCAGCCGATGTACAAGTCAGTGTTTTTATTCTCTCGACGATCTGCAACCCATTTACCAATTCCCGGAGGGTAGAGGGCATGGCTGGCCCGGGCGGGAGCCCATCCGGGACTCAACCTTTTGACAATGAGCGTTGTAAGCGTGCCACTTGCCACTGCACGACCTACGTCTGAGGTCATTCGCGAATCCGATTTCGTTCAGAATTTGTAGAAGATAATCTGTAATGCGCTAACATAAGTCGCATTGTTTTCGCGTAATTTGAACCCAAAAGGAAGGGCGAATGGGAAAATTGCACTTCTGGTGGGAAGTTGACGACACTATCGAAGTATGTATCACAGTGACCAACTATAACTTAAGAAAAATGAACAGCCTACAGTATTAGCACTTCCGGTTGCTGACAAAGCCCTTCTGACCTTATCAATCTGGATGCGTGGTCATCAATCAGCTATACACGAAATAGAGTGATTGATCATGTTCTGTGGTTGAAAAGGTGTAACGATGACAGTTGAGACGAATCCATCAGTGCACTTTTCTGTAGGTCGTTCTTGCAAAAAATTTTTGTTCAACTTTCGGGATTCACTTCTGCAATTCCGCATTTTTTTTTCATATGAAGTAGCCTCTTGGCTATTTTAAATAGTAATCAAATTTCCAGGGGAGTATATACGTCATCGCTGAGTTCTGTAGTATACGAATGCGTTTTCTTCTTTTTACAGTTTCACGTTTCATCTTTAAGTTTTTTGCTAATTTATGGATTACTTTCAGACAGTTGGGAATGCTTTTTTTGATAATTTCAATTTCTTAGGTTACGTGCTAATCTCGATATGACACTACGTGAGAACACTTTCGCTGTACTGGACGGTGGACCTCCTGGTGTGGACCTGAAGCTGCATAATTCAGGTGCTTATTACTCTTTCTGTGTCTGCTTGCCTAACAAGGTAAGGAACGTAGGTCAGAATGGCCGTTTGGGGTGAGATTTACACCCATGGAGTGCCTCTGGACGTCCATTGCGAATTTGGAGGGTGCGTTTTACCGTCCTGCACCTGAAATGGATTTTGCCTTAAATGCCTCGAATGTGGAACAAATTTTTCTATCACAATCGAATTGCAGGCATGAAGCCGACCACTTAATCGTTGAGCCGCATTACCACTTACAGCAGCGATATGCCAAAGATTCGTAATGGATGTGGGTATGCTGCCCTAACGAAAACCCCGTTACTTTGTTCGGAGCAGTTATATACTGTTCAACGAAGCAGCTCGCGCTAAGGAAATTGTAACCGTTTCAACGCCGCGTCTCGCGCTAATTAAATCATAACCTAAGAGCCGAGTCATGGGCAAAAGTCTCAACTCTAAGCGAGACTCGAACCCGCCTCTCACGCTTATCGGACAAGTTCTTAGTAAGACTTATCAATCCAGTAACCACCAGGCCTTTCCATCTCAGTCTAGAGGTGAGGTAGGTCTTGAAAAATTATGGAGGAAGTGCGACCCGAATACTAATGAGGATGTGTAGTAACCTGAAGATATCCTTTCTTTCTGCTTTTCGCATAATCCCCATTCGGAATTCAAGGAACTGGTAGTGGAACTACGACATCATTAGAAAGCCTTTAGAAATTGACGTTGGATGCGGCATGGGGCAGTAGGCGGGCATTGCCTTCGTCATGAGAGGGTGGCCCCGATGTCATATTTGAGCCGTGAAAATGATTTATCCTCAGCACTTGCGAAAGGTTTACTTCGTCTAAGGATGGCGTCTGCATACTAAAAAAACATAAACATCTAATTTCAAACGGCCAGTTCGATCTGCTACCTTTCCCTAATGAGATTTTCAGGGAAATCATTAGGATTGCTGGTTGGCTGAATCAGGAATAATGCAGTTGACGTGTTCATTCTCTTCCAACCTCTTCCACCGGCATAAAAGGCAAAAGGAAGAGGGGCGCGGTAACTGCGTCGTCCACTGGACTCGCTTATTACAATCCAAAAATCTTTTCGTCACATTTTCTTCCCATAAGAAAACGTATTCAGGAATTCGTGAAGTTGATTCATCGTGTGTGTGGTGAACTGCCTTTTGTTAGTTTTCAGCGAGTTATTACAATTCACTCCAGATGAGCTTCACCAATTACCAATTGCACAAATGGGCAATTACGAGGAATATATCAAAGGACTGGCTGCCGTTGGACGTGGTCCTCTGCGGCCAGTAGAGCCTACACCTGTTCGTACACACGCCTTCGGAAATCCATTCAAGACGGATAAGAAGAGTCTTGCTATAGACGAGGTTGGTTTTTCAGCTACATACTGGCCCGTTCACAACTTCAGTGGGCGCAGTTCGGCGACGGGGTGGGGGGCATTTTGCACTTCTGCTGCATCACCATTTGCGGTTCACAAGTCTCACTCTAGTGAAACACGCAACTCTTGTGAAACTGAAGCAGCCTCGTCGAGCCACCGTGAAAAAAGCTGTTGACTCAGCAACGAAAGTGCAAAATGACCCCCTCACCCTCCTGCACGCCCCACTTCAGTTTTTTGCATGGTTCTGTTTCAGGTTGGTGAAGGACCAGTTGGTGCTAACGCAGCTGTGCCGACAACAAAGGAATCAAGAAGGGAGCGTGTAAAGGGAGATGGAGTAGGGCGACCACCAAAAAGGAAGCCAGGTCCAGTGTCACCAAACTGTTTGCAACAGTGGAGGTTTGCCCAAGTCGCAATTTTTGATCATTTCTTAACGCATCGTCCATTTCTTGCAATTGTTTCTATGATGTATTTCTCCTCAACATTATATTGCTCACAACAGGGAACGACGGCAAACGCTTAGTGAAAGATCTTCGGTGGTGTCCGATTTGTCGTACACGTCAGATCTGGACTTGGAAGTGCCGAGCACAAGTAGCGATACACTCGATGACATGGAAGTGAGCGAGGTCACCAACGGAATAGACAACACAACGCTGGTATTATTTTTCATTCCAGTTGTCATGGATGTTGAAGCATCGTTCGCTATACAGTGTTGCTCACTTCAAGATTAGACAGTGTCTCGTTTCAGATAGAGCTAGCAGGATTGGAGCCGGAAGCTGAAAGTGCGGATGAAGAAGAGGAAGAAGAAGCGGTTGCGTCTCCACCAAAACGGAGGAAAACCGAGCGATTATCGGAGGAACAAATGTTTGAGCGAAAGCTTCGGATAGCACAAATCGTTCGGCGGCACGCGAACAGTACGATACTTAGAACTTTACGGTTTTTGCGTGACAAACTCAATTTGGCCGGGTTGAAAGAAAATTGTAACAAATATATTCAAAAGAGTACTTTAAATTTTCGTTCTTCAAGTGAGCCCGCTGAAGCGATGGTTCCACTGAAACGATGTCGACCGCATGAGTGCATATCACGCAGGTCCTCTCTTGTTTCTGAAAAGAGGTGACATCTGTTCTGAGCGCGCTGAGTACTTCGAAACGGTCACGAAATTATATCCATTCACTCGCGCTATGAGCTCAGCAGTTTCACTTTTCGCCAGAATATAAGCGCACTACAGTCTGTTTCTCTTCGGACGAAGGGACGTCCCCCGTCCGTTGGCGATAGGTGGGCTGCGTGTCGGTGGAATGGCGGACTACTGGGGTGGTTGACACCACTGTCTCGGCGCTCTCTGAAATCGGCTGTGGGCTGACACACATGGTGGCGCGCTATCTACTCACTCTTCCGTCTGGACTCTCGCTAGTCGTTAATGCTGATCGCTCAGTCAGCTGATTTCCGCTGTATTCAGCTTCTAAAAGCTGAACTTATCCCTCACAAGACTTTAGTGAGAGAGGAAAGCATGTTGCACTGAAACTAGATTTTTTCTGCATGCTTTAAGCACGATACTGTCTTTGAACGTTGGTTCCTCCTCACTATTTTCGCTTTTTTGAGACTTTTATGAATGCTTCCATTCATTTCAATGAAATTGTCGAGAAATATGCAGAAAAAACCTAGTTTCAGTAAGGTATACTCACCCTTTTTTACTGAAGCGGGACGACGAATAATTCCAGCTGTGAAAGCTGTATACAGCAGAACAATGCTGAGTGAGCGCGTTAGCTTCTACCGATCAACGGGAGTTCACAGGAAAGAGTGAGTAGATAGCACGCTGGCGTGGATTTACGCAGATTACGCAGAGTCGATCAAAGACCGCTGAAGCAGTCATTCCACCAACACGCAGCGGTCAGACCGCTCGCTACGTTGGGACGCCCTTTCGTCCGGAGAGTACCAGACGGTACAAATGGAACACTTTCAATTTGCGTCATTGAATGGTCCAAGAACCCGTAAAAAGGGGTACGCACCGGTTTTACGAATCGGAGAATTCGCGGAAATAGATTGATAGAAATCGATTAGTTTGATTAAAATGGAGAAGCGAAGAATCGACTTCGCTAAGAGTACGTCTGCTGACTCGCCGCTCTGACGGCATCAGCGAGTCGTCTAGCCATTTGTGGATTCTTCAGTTCTCCAATGGCGCAAAGCACGAACGCCCCCAAACATCGAGTATTGGAAATTGTTGCTGTTTTGACAGCAAAATTTTATGCATTCGTTATCGTATCTAACATTTTGTTATATTCGACAACGCGACTGTGAGTGAGAGTGTTTTGGTGGGCAGCATTTAAATCCTAGTTAGTTACTAAGTTGGGATTTCAAAGGTACTGAGATAGCTAACAATCCATACACAATATGCTGATTGTCATGATCAATACAGTCTCAGCTCAAACTTGTTAGGGTTAAATGTGCATAATAGTTCTCAGTATAAAAGTGTTAGATTGTTTCATTTCAGATGGGACTGTCTGGACAGATTTGTGTCGCGAGACATCTGCAAACGGTTCTCTCCTGGATCAGTTGGATTTGGCTGATTTCGCCTTGCGCGATTCGCGTCGCTTTAAGCGCCGTGCACTAGCCGATCAGCTGACCGCGGAGATGCAGCGGTTACGTAAGCTGCTCGCCATGTGAGCTCAACTCCTCAATATGTGTCGCCTTTTTCTCATCTACGGGTTTCTTTCTACGTCCATATTTCCGCAATTACGGGCATTTGCTAGCTGCGTGTGATCTCTGAAAGTCAGAAGTTGTTCATGGTAAGTTTTTTCTCCATATTTGATTTATTAAAGAGGAGAAGATATCGCTTCGAAATGACCTCCTCGAAATTTTTGACTAACTAAACTTTTTTTGTGTAGTCGTTTTGTTCGTGCAGGCTTCTACTCTCAACGTTCTACGGATCTCCATCGACGGTGTTTCTTCCATGGTGCGCTGATAATTTAGCGAAGCTAGACCTTAATGGCAAAGAATATGACGTGTATTTCGTTTCAAAGCTTGTGATAGTTCGAGTACTTCAACAACTTTCGGCTTTGAAATGAAGTACCCATAAATTTGTCTGGGCAAATATCTCATCAGCGCCTATTTGTCAGTTATGGGGTTTTGTTATGATCGTCAATTGATTCCATTGAACTCTTCTTTCATTTTTTTGTTCAAGCACTTGGATCGGGTGGAATAGCTAACCGGCGCTAGCTAGGGGTTGTGAAGGTTCATGTGACGGTGTTGGTATAGGCCTTGTTTCAATTGACTCCTTTTTCGGGTACCTTGCCACTTTCAAGTTCATTCCTCGTTTTACCTAAGTGATATCAAATTTTTCATGTTTAGTCATCTATTCTTGTGTAGAAGCTGGCAGCCAGCTAACACTGCTCCTTTAGAAGTTCAGAAATTATTGTCCTTTCGGGATGCTTAGATCTATTTTACAGTTCTAAAGCGAAATCAGATTTGATAGTGCTGTAACAATTTGAACTCCAACAACATTTCAAACAGTTTGGACGTCGTTAGCTTTTCATATGTGTTAAGATTTACTTCATTTGAGCTAAATATTTGTGTATCTATAGTACCCTTGAATAAATTATGTGATTATTTATTGATCTTTTATAAGTAGGAAACGAGCTCTTTTAGCACTTCTTTTGAACCATTTGTATGTCGTTTAACCATGAGATTGTATTGGAATAGTTTGATCCTTCCAATGTGGCGCGATAGTTGCTTGCTGACCAGGTGTGATGACACCGATGACGAAAACTTCTGCACGGGTATGTTTTCTTTTTCTTCTGGGACTTTTTGCCGTCGTTGTACTAACGTTGACATCACGACCTTGGAGAGTCATGTACATGACCTTGGATAATCTTGTTTCATTTCTGATCCTTTGTGAAAGGGGTTAAGTTAAGGGCACGCTTCGTGTTCATTTAAAGTTAAGATACCGTCATTGAAGTAGTCCTGCCCGCAAGAATGGAGATTGTTTTACTGTCGCAGCTCATAAAGATTGAGGAAAGTACTACACACTCGCGACCAGGCCATTGGCTTCGCCCACTGCGCCCAACATTCATTCCAAAGTCATCCGGGTGGTGCGGTTTCCGCATTTTCAATGGTGAGGGTGAAGTGATAAGGCGAAAGAGCTCATACAAACAAGCGAGAATTCGTCCAGCCATGCCATTTACTGGCGTCATGCACGTAAAAGCGCGTTCCAGCATAGGGCTTGGTATGGGGTGGGGAGATTGGCTTTTTTATTCATTACTGAACCAGTTAGTACCTTGATGTAGCCCGACTTGCGCATTCAGTATCGATGTAACGTCTCTACTTCCACCCGCCGCTATTATCCTAGAACAGACCAGCCTAATCATTGAGCTCATCCTATTGGCGACGCGTAGTGAATGTGGCACGACTTCTTAGTCCGCGTCCGTTCTTTTCAAGACCGCTACTCGCTTGATCTCGTACTGGTTCTTGGTATGTCTGTATATGTCAATGAGGCTGCACATGTTTGTTATTTGGAGTATTCATTTCACAGCGAGAAATTCATGTGTTCTATTTTCAGATTCAATGAGTCAGCAGGACTAGAATGGACAATAATCTCAAGAGTTCGGTTTAAAAGCACTAGCATAGCTGGACGATCACTGCTGCCAACTTTCCAGTGTTCTTATTTTATTCAAACGGAACCTTCAGCACTTTATTCGAACCAAATCTTCAGAAACCGTCATCCTTACGTTGCAGCTATATAGCTGTTTGGTCATCTGTATGGCGTCTTTATCTATATACTTCTGCCAGAGCGGAAGTACTGGCGACGCTTGCCATTGTGGCAAATGGCCTGATAGTGACAGTAACTGCTGAGAGGCACGTAAAGCTCAGCTGCCTGAGGCTAGCCGTCAGAAGACCATACGTGACCGGTTCTCAGCACTATCGACAGAAAAATATTAAATTATTTACTATCAAAAAGGAAAGGTGAAACTGTTGACAGTAGGTTTTCCGTGGCTTCCAAAAAATAATGGTTTGAGGAATTGGTATCGAAGACCATAGCAACTTTAAGGTCGCAAATATTCGGTTTTGCGAAATGCTATTGAGAAAATTGTCCTTGAAAAATGCGGAATGGGTTAGGCCTCTGATGGGTGGGGTCATTATCGCCGAACGTGTTGACATGCATCATGGGGGCTGTAGAAAGATCAAATTCACTTTTTCTGTTCATTCAGTGCCCTCTGTATCGAAAGATTAAATACCCAGTTTTAAGTAATACTTTCGAACTGAACAAGAACTTCTAGAGCCCTTGAATGATATAGCCTTTACCGTAAACCAGTCCCTTTCTGGGATGTGGTACGCACTCTACTTGCACTTGAAGGCACGTTCCGCGACAAACTAAGGCTAGAACCTCATAAACGTGCATGATGATCAAGCAGGCAACAGTAGAGGATATGCTGCTTTTAAAAGTTGAAAAACAGCAAGCAGAACGCACAACGCTCATGTTCTAGGCCCATTTGACCGTGTCGTTGTGACATTGCCAATTGCGCTCTCTCGCCCGTCATTTTCTGGCCCTCTCGTCTCTTATCAGTGTCTCGCCGCCTTTTGCCATCCACAATGATCTTGACCACCTTACGCTCGTCCGGTGATCATGATCAATTGAAATAAAGAGGGTCTTATTGCGGGCGCTTTTTCGTGGTTCCTTCTCTTCAATAAGTCAACAATCACAGGGCAATTCTATTTTTGAACTGTATCACCTATGAAGTGTGGTCGCGGGAACTGCCTTCGAATTCGCACCGGCAATGGGATGCGATGGGTCCTCTACAATGAGTGAGGGAGCCAGCCGATGTAAGAGTCAGTGCTCTTACCTCCCAGACAAATCTGTTACCAATTTGCCGTTCCCGCAGAGTAAAGTTCCCGGTTGTCTTAGGCGGGAGCCGATCCGAATTTTGTCACCCGAACCTCGCGCATGGTGAGCATGCCACTTGCCACTATAAGACCTCTAAGACCTCTGCTCTGGCCCATGACTTCAAAAATACCAGGAAGAACTGTCTGAATGGAAACTTGATGAAGTAGTTCGTAAAAGTGAGAATTTATTTCAAATCCTTCATAGATGTTGATAGTAAGTCCCAGCAATGCACTAATCCACAGGGATTACGGCGCAAGGTGATTATTATGGAGACTACCCTGACCTGGAGTTTACCAAAGTGCATACTTTTGACAGATGAACATTTGACAGATGAACATCAAAAATTCTATTTCCAATAGATCGCTTCTTTGGTTGAGGAGCCGGTCAGAAGGAAAAGCTATTTTTTATTCAACCAACACGCATGCGCCAACCAAGAAGTGCACCAGTCTGCGTTTCCGCTTGTGCAAAAACCCACTTGAATCTGATCCTAAACGACAGCATTCCACCAAAGCGCAGCCACCGCTACGCTCGAATAAGTACGCAGCCATGCTTTCTACAGCTCCAAGGTATGGAGTGTGCACCGCAAACCACTTCGTTTTCTTTTCGCAAATAAAGCGCAGATAGCCATCATTTGATGTCTGGTGCCCGCTAATTGTCCGCTGGTATTTAGCATTTTCTCTTAATAAACAATGGCTATTAGATTTCATTTATGCTACTGTTCTACTTTACATATTCTAACCCTCCTGCTACCTCTCCACCACCCACTTTTCTTATTTTTTTCCAGCACTTTCCGGACGAGTGTTACTCATGCCCAGTCATACGTTTTATTCCTTTTTGTGATCGAGTGACTCTTGCGATATCATTACCTTAACGCTTCTGATTTCCTTGGCATTTTGATTTCTGACCGAATCCTTTTTTGCTAAATATCTCCAAAAAAAGCGTGTGAAATGTGGATGGTCCCGTGACTGGTTTCGCAACATAGTTGTAAAACGACGTTCTGAAGTGCAACGACTTCGCAGTTCCTTGATCCCGAGAAATACTGCGTGCAGAATTATTCACAGGATAGTGCTTGAGAGGGTACTCAGTTTGCTTACGAATGCGGCATTCGTTCTCAGCGCAAGCACCAAATGGTTCTACCTACTCAACGTGGCATTTATATTTGCGGCCGGTCTTATTACGCGCCACTTCTGCTCCACCACTTCACCCAAATTCAGCTTAAAGGCAGTTGGCACACTCCAAATTCAGCTTAAAGGCAGTTGGCACGATAGGTCCCGAAACAAGCAGGATTAATACGCCTGGCAGGACGGGGTTCCGCGCCCCTGAGCAGGCGCTGCGTGGCGCCTTTTCAAGGAAGCTATCCTTATAAGGCCCTATCAAGCCGCAGCATTCCGGCCCGGACAGCCCACGAGTGGACAACCACCTTGCTCCATTTGCGAAGTAAAATATGAAGCGAAGGGATTGACATGAAGCGGCCGCGGTGCTGCATGGATATATGAGTACATACATGCAGCCGTATCTACCGTAGCGGTTACTGGCAAGATGCCTACGGGAAACTCGTCCGAAATTGCTTTTTGAGTCATTAAGAGCGAAGGCTTTTCTCCGCAGGTTTTTGACCGTTTCACTTCACTTTTTCGCCATTTTCCTACACTCTAGAACATTGTCAGCATTTTAGGCCGAGTACCGAGTTATCGCGCCATATGCCTTCAAACCTACATATGGAATGAAATGCCAGGTTGCTAATCGCCATTGTTCGCATTCAGTAGCCCCGGAGCGAGCGCTGAAAATGGATGCCTGTGATGACAACCCTCAATTACACACAAGTTCATGCCAGTTAGGAGGAGAAACTCATGGCCCTTGTAGCTCTTCAAATAAATGCCTTGCAATCTTGTTCCTTGTGGATGCGAGGGCGTGCCAGGAGGGCTGGGGGTGGCACGGCTGCTGTCCATTCTCCATCACTTGTTAAAACTGGCAGGCGACAGCAATGGTGCAAAAGAGGCTGGCACCCCTGCGAACCCAGCCTCCCCCTAGCATGCCCCAGCGGTGAGCAAGACTTTATGCGTTCAGGGCGCTAACCGTAAGTGACCTTTGTAGGTCACTTTTCAGAATTGAAAACCAATTAAAAAATGTGATTGAAACCTCTAAGTGATCCCTCTTGAGTCTAAACTAAGTCTGAGTTAAGCGCAAAAT